TGTGCTGTCATGTGCCTAGTAACAAAATTTTTAAAAATTTTCAAAAAAAAAAAAAAACTAAAATAACCTACTAACTTGGTGAACAATTTAAGGTGTCGCTCGTTTAAAAACAAAATTGCTTACCTAAGAAAATATCCAATCGACCTAATCTTACACGTTCAAAACCTCTTCTCTCCTCTCCATACCCTTTAATGAAAAACAAAAAATTTTGAGACTCTTGGTTCGAATTTATGGATTCAACCATTAAATAGTAACAAAAAATTTGTGAAATTTAGTTTCAATTTGAAGATCCTTCAATTAGGTACAAACACACACAAAAAAAAATTCGTTTATAATTTCATTGTTGGACATTGGATAGCATGTATTTTTTTTTCAGTAAGAATTTCAAAAAAAATTCATCAAGGGAACCAATTGTGCTTAATTATTGTAGCATTTGGTACTAATTTGTTTTTGTCCAAATTTAGGTGCCAGAATCACTCGAGAAAAAAAAAATTGGGTACTAAAACTGCATTTACACTTTTTTTCTTTAACGAATTCGCGATTTGAGAATTCGAGGAAATAAATTTGTAAAGATTCATACTTGAAGCAAAGACCCTAAATTTTAATTTGTAAGTTGTGGTCTGATAGGATGAGACCCTAATTTTTTTTTTTAAATATTTTTTCCCGAAAGGACTTGGAACAATTTCTAAAATCTTGGGACATGACAGGAACTTCCTGCCTCCCAACCTCACAATTCACATATACCTGTGCATGGCCCACAATTCAAAAATTTTTTTACTATAAAAAGGTGAGTCAATTAACTTTTGATAGCTGGCTTAAGTCGAGTGTTTTCCCCGCCCCTTTCTCCCACATTGGTCCAGCAGAAAGTTGAGTGTGAATGTTTAAGGTCCATTGAGCCGGCTTCTAGTCAGCAATTACCTGGAGATTTGATTTTAATGGATCCCCCTTAGACTGCTTGTATTCCTTCGCTTTGTTGGAAAAAAAATTAACTTTTGATAATAGGAGTATAGAATTATTAATGCACCAATTTATTGGAGGCCCACATCAATTTATTCTTCGACTCGCGGATACGTTTCTGTGGTATAGCTAGAAAGACTGAAAGAGAACCACGCGCACGGCTGCCACCAACTTTCCACGGGAATAAAATATTTTGAGTTAATTCCAGAAACCTCCCCTGAAACTGAAAGGCACTATTTAAACTATTTGCCTTGAAAGGAATCTCTCTACTCTCTTGTGGCGCACAATCGGATTCGGAGGGATGCATTTTTGTGTGTTGTATTTCGTTGGGTGCGATTTGGGGCGGGAGGATATGGAAACCCAGCCAGATAGATCTTGGGGTGCTCATCAGATCCAGGCCAACAATCCTAAATGATGGCCCAACATGTTGGAACATACGGACCCATAATCTTTTGGGTCTAGAGCAGTTGGACTGCTCAAGGGTTTGCACAAGCTGTGGAGTGGCTTCAAGTTCTACTATTCCCCGTCAATGGGAAAAGCTAATTAATTAATTGCAAACTAATGTATTTGTGGAGAATTAATTTGCAACAGAACAGATTTCCAAGTTACAACACACAGGACAAAGCCAGCAAGAACCTTCCAGTTGATTAGTTCTGGCAAATAAAATGAATTTTAGTTGGATCATCCGTTGATTTAAGAGATAACTAACAACAACCTCCAACATAAACAACAACTTTTTTTAAGCAAAACTCATCTTGGAGACTTTATCAAGGAACTAGCAGCTTCTGCAAGAATTGAGAATTGTCGTTATTACTGTGTATCCGTTTGTAGAAGTTATAAAGATTCGAAAAAATGAATTGAAAAGAAAAAGGAGGAAAAAATTTTTTTGTAACTTATGCTTATCTTGTTAGTTCCCTTGAAATATACCTAATTTACTATGTACGTGAACGCGAACGATCATGTACTCACATTTACTTTTGTAAGTCCATATTAGACGTCTATTAATTAACTCCATATGTGTTGTAATACAACTATACCTGGCAATTGGGCGGGTTTTGGGTGGGTTGATATTGGATTTTCATTTAAATGGATTACATCCAACCCGTCCAACTTTAGATTGGGTTAATTTTGGATACATAGACTCTTTCAAATATATTTTCACATACAAAAAAAAGAAATCACACACATAAATACATTTTTACATAGATAGATATATTTTCACACATTAAAACACTGACAAATACAAACACACACTCATTTTTTAAGTTCTTTTGAAATACAGTATTTTTACATATACAAACACACTAAAATACACACTAATATACTTTCACAAATACACACACATACTAACTGTTAAACTACTTGGATCCAATCACACTTTAAAGAAAGTTATAAACCGAAATTTTGACCCATAAAATAAACACAAAAGAATTATGCATGATAACACATCTAAGCCGTTGTAAAATTGAGAAATTAGAAACATCTAAACAATGCACACATTATGGCGCGTGTACTCACCTTGGGCTGCCATTGGATTTGTATTGTGTAGCAATTGGACACCGTTATAATCTTATGTTCCCAGTGCTCACAACTCACAAACACCAACATTTAATAGTCATTAGGTTGCATCCCATCGAGCCGTTACAAGAATTTAGTAGCCACATGAGATTCCCGCTTGCTAAAATCCGACTTGCAGATATGATCTTGTTTGGATGATCAAGATTAGGCAAGTTATCGTGCACTGGGGTTACACCTGATTATACGATCTGTGGGGCCCCACATATTGGAAAGTCGATGACTTAATAGATCAATTCCTGCGTGCGTGATCGTGCGTTTTGTGTTTAATTATTTTTTTAATTTAAGTTGGGTAATAAGTGCTCAACACAAATACCCAAACTGTTCAAAATATGTATGGATTTTTATTACCCAACCCAAAATTGATCCAATACCCAACTTACCCAACCCAACCTCTCAAATTAGTGGGTTATTGGATTTTGGACATAATTGTCAGGTCTAAATATAACATAAAAAACTAGCAATAGTATAAGATTTCACTGTCAAATTAGAAGGGTGCACTATTCACATGTACGAATTTAAAAAAAGTCACGTATAATAGTACATTGATATTGAAACTTAGAAAGTGTTGGTGGTGACTTACCGCCCAAAGGCCATTGGTTACAAGACCCCTCTCTATTGGGAAGATCGATTTGATAATGGATTGGCCAAGTATCAGGATTGTTTCAGCTGCTTTTCAGAAGCAGAAGGGCGACAGCATTGAGCGAGACCCATTTGTCATCATGGTGGCCATGAAAGTCTTTCCAAGTATCTGGCCACGTGTCCACAAGGCACTTGTTGGATTTCGATCACAAATATCAGGATGAAGGATCCAGATTCCACGACAAGTTTGTAGTTGTTCATGCAAAACCCTAATACCACCACAGCCAAACCCTGCCTCCTGTCCTTGAAGCTGTCGCGTTCAGTCCCTGCAACACAACTGATGCGAGAAGGAAATGTCTAAATGAATGAAAGGGTAGGAACGAAAATCTAGACATATGCCAAAACACCCAGAAACAGAGAGACTCTCAGAGCCGATTCCTCAACCTCAATGCCACCATACTCATACATCGAAAATTGGAAATTTTTGTCATCATAATTCTCCTGGTGGACTCAACAACAACATTGTTCGTAATTTTATAGATTTACTTCCCCCGACTCTTGAAAGAACGTACAAGTATAATTTTTCGGGGAGCTCTGCGTGCTCTTTTAAGTTATATTATTGATCGGAGAAGAGAGAGCGTACAATTATCAATTCTTAAATTATTTTAAAAGTTTAAAGCACGAAATGATGTAACAAGATATAAGCGGATAAATTATGAAAGGAATCATAGCATTTTCTTAATTTTTAAACTAGAGAAAGTCAGTAAATTACCAGCCCATCTCCCAATCGCTCTTACTCCATAATTTAAAACTAAAATCCCTGGTATTTTACTATTAAATTACAAGTAAAACAACGCAGAATGCGAAAGTTTTACACAAAATAACATATCATCAGGCGGTGTCCAAGAATCATAGTATATCTGCGGGTAGATTTACACAAATACGACGCAGGTGTATCTTATTTTACTTGGGCTGAGAGCATAACCAACACACTCCTATATGCTCCTTTTGTACGTACGAGTCTACAAACAACAACTACTAGTAAAGTAGAAGTACCGGTCTGGTGCTAGCTTAGAAGTTTGAGCTGAAACCCCACCCACATATATACATACATAGGAAGCAGACGACGGACAACTCCCAAGTCCCAACCCCACACAGGAGAGGAGAGGAGAGGAGAGGGGAGGGACAAACACAGTGTTCTAGAGAGAGATCCCACCATCTGAGTTTGTGGCGTGAATTCTTCGAGAGATCTATTGTGGGTTCAATGTTGGGTAACTCAACCAGTACTAATAGTCGTACGACAATAAAGTAACTAGTAGCAGTATGAGTAACTAGCTGGGGTTTTCTCTGACTCCTCACCTGAGGATCCATGATGATGATGATGAACAGAATGATTTTGGAGGGCAAAGTGGAGAAGAAGTGGAACAAGAAAGATGTAAAGAACAACAACAAAATGCTGGTATTCCTGGTCCTACTATTACTGGAGGAGGAGGAGCCGATCAAAACCAACAGCGCGGCGGCGGCTCTACTCCTCCTACGTCGGTGGCCATGGCTTTGCGTTCTGATGGTTCTCTTTGTATGATGGACACTTTCGGGCTCCCCTCGAGCGGTGCTGCTCACCAAGAAGGTATTGTATACAACCTCCCCTCCTCCACCCTTCTCTGCATGGCCACCAAATCCCTTTTTCTTTTCTTTTTTTTTAAGAATGCTACTATTTTTTTTTTTTGAAGCAAGAATATTACTAATACTTTTAATACATAGTCAACTCAGCAGATTTTCTTTCTTTTGTCTTACAAAAAAAAATCCTAGATTGGAGGAGATATGAAAATGCCTTGGATGATGCGACTAATCTACGAAACGGAGAAGGTCCAAAGCTTGAGGATTTTATGGGACGTTGTTACACCACAAATTCTCCTCCTCCTGATCCTAGTAGCAACATTGAGCGCAGAGTTTATTGTCAGTTACCTCAGCAGCAGCAAGGGGAAATCAACGTGAATATTCCACCGCATTGCAACGATTGGGAGATGGAGATTGAAAGAAGAGAACATCTTATCACCACCACCGCCACCCCATCGTCGTCTAGCCTAATCCATCCTTCTTATCCCTTTAATTATCATATGTATTCCCAAGATACGATTTCTAATCGTTGCGACCCAAACTCTAACATGAACGGCATGTTGTACCACGTACCGTTCGACGGTGCAACTACGGTTTCCGGATTCAAGTCGTGGCTGCGCCAAACCCCTTCTCCGGCTGATACTAACGAATTTTCAGTTCAAGAAAGCAACCAGAATAATTTTGAAGCCCTTTCTCTGGGCATCAACCCAGGCGCGGCTGATCAGCCCGGAACTTCGTCTCTAGTGTTGCAGGTGGCTGATACAAACAAAAAGCGCGACAACTCCATGGCTAATAAATCTAGTGCCAAAGATTCTGCAGCACCACGTAAATCTATTGATACTTTTGGGCAGAGAACCTCTCAGTATCGCGGAGTTACGAGGTACTCGTATGATTGAGACACTTTTTGCTAGTTTATTTATTTTAAGCATTTTTTAGTTATAAATTACTCCAATCAATACATATTGCATACGATAATGTTGGTTCAACTTTAATGGAGTAATGATGATAGTGGAACGTGTTAGGCATCGATGGACGGGAAGGTATGAGGCTCATTTATGGGATAATAGCTGCAGAAAGGAAGGCCGAACAAGGAAAGGAAGGCAAGGTATGTATACACATATATATGACGGTCCCACCAAATACTCTTTTTTTTAAAAAAAAAATTTAATAAAACCTAGTAGTAGGAGTATGTCGTTTTCTTTGTTTGGCTAAGGCTAATTTTTTCCCCTTGTGTTGCATATTATTATGGGTTTTGGTGCATTGTGCTGTCACTATATCCAAATCAACTCAGTTTATCTAGGTACGAGTTCTTTAGCCATGTCTAGTTTGATTTGTTAACACCCCGTTTGGATTGCATTTTTCATGATTTTTCATGGAAAAATTACTGTAGCAACTTAATGTATGTGAGAGAAAAAGGTAATAGAAAAATGTGATCACGAAAAACGATACAATTTTCCGGCAGAAAATGACCATCCAAACAGGGCATAAGTCTTTTGAACTTAAAAAAAAAAAAAAAATTAATGCTGCTTTTACCTTTATAAAATTGTTTAGGTGGTTACGACAAGGAAGAGAAAGCAGCGAGGGCTTATGATTTGGCTGCTTTAAAGTATTGGGGTCCTACTACTCACATCAATTTCCCCGTAAGTGTTTTTACTGATTTGCGGTATTAAAATACGTATATTCGCGAGGATGGGGAAAAACACTGAACTTAATTACTACAGTATTATTATTTTACGACTAATGTGCAACATAACAGTTGTGTTCGTATGAACAAGAGCTGGAAGATATGAAGGCCATGTCTAGACAAGAATTTGTTGCGCACCTAAGAAGGTAATCTTCTTTTTTCTTTTCGAGAAATGAGACTGGCTATATCAGTAGTAAGAGTCTTGAGTTGCGGAAATTAAATTAAATAAAAAAAAAACGATCTTTATGTTTAACAGGAAGAGCAGTGGGTTCTCAAGGGGGGCATCCATGTACAGAGGAGTGACGAGGTATAGAGTAGTTTTCATTATTATTAATTCACTGCAGCTTTTGCAATAATCGATCGGCATCAATCGTATAATGCGGATAGGGAACATCATGATGCATGTGCATGATATGACACGAACCTTTGTACGAATGTGTAGTAGCAAAGCAAAGCAATTAAGGCCTGGCCAACCCATCATAATGTCATTGTGGCTTTGCTTTCATCTTTTTAATTGGTTTGCGCTCAACATTGGCAGGCATCATCAACATGGAAGGTGGCAAGCTCGAATTGGAAGAGTTGCAGGCAATAAGGACTTGTACCTTGGTACTTTCAGTACGTTTACCCGTCCTCTTTCTTCCAAGGGAATTTACTCATGCATGCTTGGAAATTGCTATTCTATCTTCTTTTACCCTTTTTTTTTTGTTGGGGGCGGGGTGAAAGAAGAGAAGGAACATCCCTAGAATATTCTACGTTGGATTTGGCGGATGAAGATCAGAGGTGGGACTGGGACCTATGATATTATTGTTCGTGTAGTTCACCTCTGACAAAATTAAAAATAATACATTCGATTAATAGCCTGTTGGGAAAACTCGATTCACCTCCTGAAAGTTTGCAAAACGTGAGGATAGCATAGCAGCACGTATGCATAAACATGTTTACCCTGTTGTTCAACAAACGATCCTAGTGCTGGCTTCTGTTTACATTTTAATAGAGCATGGATTTTTAAGCAAAACGAGAGTTAATAGATGGATCCAACCTAATGCAGATCGAAACTCAGTTCATCTGTCAATGGGGACGGATATTGTAGAATTGGATTACTAGCTCCATGCATGCAACGAGTCATGATTAATAATTACCTTGTATTCATCTAAGGTACACAAGAGGAAGCTGCAGAAGCCTATGATATTGCGGCAATTAAATTCAGGGGTACGAGTGCTGTGACCAATTTCGACATAAGCAGATATGACGTCAGAAGAATATGCTCTAGCTCAACCCTCATCGCTGGGGACCTAGCCAAAGCCAAGCGATCCCCCAGGAACTCTCGTCCATCTTCAGTAGTCGATGGCAACAATTCTTGTGCATCCTCAGCTTCGCCTCAACCCCTTGTTGCCATCACAAACCGGGAGGCATCTCAGCATGGCTGGAACGTAATGGTATGGAGTTCCAGCACAGATCATGATCAGCGTCTGCAGGATCATGAAACCAACAGCAATGATATGCTACAATTTTCAGCCTCAGGCAGCAGGTGCTCCTCCACCCCACAAAGCCCAAAGGATCCTGTAGGTTCAACCGGCTCACCGGGGAAAAATGGAGGCGAATTTGGAGTTGAAGGAGATTATTCTCAGCTATACTTTTCGTTGGAGGGGCCAAACTCAAAGCCCAAATACGGAGATGGTAACAATAATGGAAGTGAGGATCGTGATACGAGCAGTAACCGATTGGCTAATACGGGTTCGGTTCATCCGGTCCCCATGTTTACATTGTGGAATAGTAGCATATGAGTGAGCGGCTTTGGAGGATTCAAATTTTTAGTTAGCCGGGGATAGATAGAGTTAAAGTCGAACGCTGGAGAAAACTTGAATAGACTGGGGGTTTCATTGGCCTTCCGTCGAGAAAGAAACTCAGCGAAGATGCAGAGACGGGATTATCGATTAAATTAGCTTACATCAAATGGAAATGACTTTGGGTGAAAATGGACAAATTTATGCATGTTTCCAGTCTGGTAGAGTTATAGAGTATATCTTCTTGTTTTTCCTTAATTGGACAAGCAGCCATGCCTGGTGTGGTTTCTTCATTTGGTGATTCTCCAATGATGCCCATTCGCACTTGGACTTCCGAAAAGAGTCCTGATTAGACGTGTTTCTTAGTCTCTCTGATCCTATTCCTATAATCCCACCTACCTTCTATCTTGATTCTTGACATGATAGGTGATCGATGGAGAACAGTTTATCCAACGGTAAAGGCAGATGATTTTTTTTTTTTTAGGAAGGCAAATGATGATATGTCCTCGACTCAAATTTTTTTTTTCACAGCAAAACGTGTTAAAATGCTAAAACTATTCCTTCCAAGTCCAGAAAGAGTATATTTCGACTTCAAAAGAGTTTAAAATGATAAAACTTAATTTGGTATTTTATGCAAAAATTGCCGTGGAAATTAGATTTGGTCTGCTGCATTTACAACCAATGGAAAAAGCCTGCGGAAATGTGATAGTTGGAGTAATTATTCTCTCTCTCATATGTATTTGAAGATAACTTTCCAAATTGCCCCACTTAAAGAGCTCTAAATCTTCCATCCTTTTTCTGGGAATTTTGATTTAACTGGATCATGTAATTACGATGTTGAAGCTATCAATTAGCAGCATTTCCTAAAGTCCACTAATTAAAAAAACCTAGCACATCACTTCAAATTGAAAACTTACCAATCTTATAGATGACTATAATTCAAAAAGGATATAAATGACTATAACAAAAAACGAAATAACAAAATTAATTAATTTAGCAACACTAAATTTAATTTTGACTCAAGTATGTAAATTTTTTTTCTCTTTGGAAAAACTTATTAACTCATCGAATGTCTATATGAAGATTCAAATTTCGATGGAATCTGAAATTTCTTACATACATTTTAATGGTGAATAATAGCAGCTAGTAACACTATTATAAGTTAATTAATAAAATTTCTTTTATTCAATTTTTTTTGGCATTTAGTGAGCTTAGGACATTTTAGTAGGTTTTTCCCTAAAATTTATATTTCTTGAATGTTATACTTTATCAAATATGTTTTTTTTTCAAATATTTTATAATTTTAATGTTGGATTTTTAAACTTTGACATTAAATTTGGAGTACATAAATTATAAATTTGACATTTCTCTTGCACTTAGAATAAATTCTATATTGATCTGTTGTGCAAGTAAGTATCTAGATAATTTTTTCTACAACATATATACATCAAAAAGGCACTTAAAGAGAATTGAAATATGGATTTAAATCAATAGAGATGTGTTTAGATGGTCATCTTTAGGAGTGTTTAAGAAAAAATTCTTAGATTGAATATTTAATTAAAAAAATATTTTATAAACCCGTGGTAAATGCTAGTATAAAATATTCGAATTCCACCTGTTGTATTTTTCAATATTTTTGCACCGTATCAATGAAAACGTGTACTGTGAAAAGAATATCATGACGTTAATGCTAATGTGACATTTAATAAGTAGAATTTATTTGATTAATTAAAATTTGTCAACAACTGGTATTGCAACTTGTATAGAACTAAATATTTATACACCGCGTGATTAAATCCAATTTCGGAGATGGAACGTGACAAGAGGTCCAAAACCCTTTCTTGTAAAAAGAAAAATAAATAAGTGTGTTTGGATTATTGAATTATTCCAAATAATATTTTGCTTGTATCATAAACATATTTTTTAATTTTTTTTATATTTTTAACTATTTTTTATTTCATATATAACATATCATAAAAAAAATTTATAATAATTATTTTAAATAATATTTCAAATAATATACAAAAACACACAAGGCTGGCCAAAACCCTTTCTCAATTGCTCCAATACGCTTTTCCTTAATTAATTGTCAAGCGATCAGAGGAACATCCTGTCAATTGAGTCAATATGAAGAGGGTCAGAGACAGTGGGAACCTCCCTTTGACTAATGGAGGACAAAATGTCCAATACGTCCAAACTCCATTCTCTTTCACCTCACCTAGCTAGCAGCATCCTACGGAGTAATCAGTAATGTCCTCCTACTACTAGAGTAGTGGTGGCTAGGCCAACTGATACCTTAAGTTGTGTGCCATCTCTCGCTTCCTCACTGAAACTGGCAAAAAGTCTGCAATAGGCCACTAGGCTGCTCTAGTTTGTTTCAGACTTCACTGAATTTTGGGGTCCTTCCCGCAAATTCTCTCTCTGTGTCTGCGTTTTAAAACTACTAGCAATTACTACTACTTAGTACTTAGTAGTAGTACTTAGATCATATGTTTATTTTTTTTTTGACAATAGTGAAAGAGTTTTAGAGTGCAGATTGCAGTACAATATTAGAGTAGCAAGTAGCAACAGCAGTGTTAGGAGTTTAATGAAATGAAAAGGAATTGCTGAAGTATTTATATTGAGTATGGAGAAGGATTGAGCAGATGAATGATGACCCACAAAAAATGGGCTTCTTGTCTTAGTCAATTAGTAGTGATTTCTAGGCATTTATTTATGTTATGAATGGGTTGTGGGGGAGAGGACAAGCACGGAAGGATGAACAGCGATTGAGTGAAGAAAATTTTAGTGATAGATTCGCAGTCTGAGAGTTTCTGATGACGCTTTGGTGGGGATAATGGAAATCCCAGTAGGGAGGAAAAGAAAAAAGAGTCTGCGTACCAAAGAAAAGCAGCAATGGTTATGGGAGAGGGGCCATGTGAATATACGCAAGCAAACGGGAGATGGACAGAAAAAAGGACCAGAGACATTTCTCTTTCGCTGCAATAGTTGCATACTTTTGCACCATTTGTTAGACACAGTATTTACGAGTTGTCCATCACCAAAGGCCAGCAAGATGGATGAATTCACGTTCAAGTACAAAAGGTGCTCGGTTCCAACGGTGCATGGAGAAGGAATCCCATCATCCCGGCTCCACCGAGCTAAAAGATACTTCCTTCGTCCCACTTTGATAGTCCTGTTTTTCTTTTTCATCTGTCCTAAATTGTAGTCCACTTTTCAATTGAAAAATATAGTTATATTTTAATATTCCTAAAATATCCTTATTGAATGTAAGTTATTGTTACTATAAACCTACTCCATTTAATGAGAGTTAATTCTTTTTTTACCATCAATTCAAGTTCCCATAAAGTTGTACTCTAATTAATGTGAAGGTATTTTAGGAAAATAGCTACCTAAATTGATTATTCCAACAAAGTTAACTATTTTTTATTAAACTGTGTGAAAAAAGAACCAGAACTGTCAAAGTGGGACGGAGGGAGTAAAAGAAAAGAAAACGAAGAAAAAAGGAAAAGAAAGTGCTCCTGTAATTACTAGGAAATGTGGTGATATTGGTTTGTTTGGATAGAGTATTATTTAAAATATTATTTGAAATAATAACTATAGCATTTTTTATGATTTGATGTATATGAGATAAAAAAATAGTTAAAAATATAAAAATATGAATAGAAAAATGTGTTTATGATATAAGCAAAATATGATATTATTTGAGATAATTTCACTGTCCAAACGGCAAACAGTCGTATAAGTATATTTGCGCGTGGCGGAGTGCATGGAATTGCAGAGAGTTGGGGATGGGTTGGGGGATCTGGTCGACAAATAAATTATTGGAAGGAAGGCAACAATTTCCAAAGCCTAAACGCATGGCATCGGCATTGGCGCGGTGCATTATTCTGCAAGTCAATAGTCATCCCGAATTTCAACTCATACGGAACACGTCAATTAATATGCATGGCCCCCATCTCCCTCCTTTATATTTTTATGCTACTACTAGTGACCAGTGTCCATTATTTTTTTTTTTGTTTTTATTATTTGTCTCAGCAATTCCAACATTTTATGTCTGGTTGCACACGCCGGATCACCAGATTCCAACATTTCCTTTCATGCAGTAGGACTGTAGGAGTAGAATCTTCATAGCATTCTTCTTATTCCACTTCCTTTTTTTTTTTTTTTTTTTTTTTTAAAAAAAAGGGTTGGCTTAGCTTGATAATTTCTTGCGTAAAATTCATATAAACCAAGTATATTCTACAGTTTTTGAGATAATTGGTATTTGATTGATTGAACTTGGTTACGTACTTACATAGCTATAATATCGCGCTTGTTCCCCCCTTTTGTTCTTCCCCTGTAAATGCGTGCTTTGTTTGCACTATTATTGCTATTTTTTTTTTCTTGAGGTTGGCCTCCGAAATTGAATTTCGGCAACTGCTCCTCTTTATTTCTTTGCACTACTTCGATTTTTCAGGGTTCTATGAAATATAAATTATGAATTATGGCCTAGTTTTTTTTTTCTCACGTATGAGAGAAAAAAAAAAAAGAAGAAATCTCACGTTTGAGAACGAGAATTTTGAATAAGAAAACAAGAATACCGGAAAAGTAAAATATTGAGCACGAACTCGAAGAAATAGACTTGTTGACCGAACACCAAAGTGGTCCAAACATCTCAACTCCACGCAAAGGAGTTTTGATGGGCCATAAGTCCATTAAGCCTCCTTACCTTACTTAATACTTATCTCTCAATCTAAGTTTCCAGTGTGTATTCAAGTCCAAGGAAAGGCGACTTCTTGGGCCCAACTATCTCGTATACTTATTCAGGGCCTACCTGTTCACTTTCCGATGGAAATCCATTTACAAAAAGTGACATTAGGATTCATTTTCGTTTTCATGATTCTAACCTCGCTCTCGGCGACTGAGCCAAGCATAGATCTCATTCTTTTCTTTCTAACCCCAAAAAAGCTACTGCTACTGCTACTGCTCTGCTCTGCTAGTACTTAAAAAAAAAAAAAAAATCTTTGGATTCCATGGCGGATCAGGAGCAGGTTTTGACTTTTTTCTGGAGCATTTGCTTAAACTAAAAGAATATATAGAGGTAAATCTACAAAATAAAAGTGCTGCAATTGAGATGCCGTTTGGAAATACTAAAAACGAGTAATGAGAGAGGGGGCCGTGGGTCGGCGGCAATCGGCACATTATCGTCTTTGTTTTGTCTTGGGGGATCCTATGTTCCAATTCCGCCGCCTGCTCCTCGACAACAACTAATTATTTATGCCATTTGAGTGAAGGCTCCTCCTGGCTTCATTTCCATTGTTTTAATCTTCAGGTGAGGATAAAAAAAGACTAGTTTGTATTATGGATAATCTTCTAACAAATGAACTTAAATCCTCCAGTCTGCTCTGCTACAATAATCGTCTCAATTCTCATACCCATCATTGCTTTACATTTTTTTTTTTTTTTATATATAGTGCCTGTTTATTAATTCCAACAATTTTGCACTTAAGTCCAAGAATTAGATTTGAACTTTGCGGATACTGCTGCAAAACAAAATGTAAATGTTGGAGCTTGATATATTGATTCAACTTCGCTCTAGTTCTGATTCTAATTCTGATTCATGCTGTAAATGACTAGTATGTACTGTCACATGCATATGCATAGTACGTACGTACTTAAACTCAATATTGACTAGTAGTAGTAGTAGTGGCGGCGAGGTAGGAAGCAAGAATGACAGGATGTACTAGGAATACAACTTAAACGAGTTGGAAAATCACCAAATTAGACGCGCGCCCACGCGGGTGATTATTGAATTAGTGGTTGGATTGAATGATTCAAGGCCGCATCCATCCCTCTGCCATTTCCTCTCTCATTTCCCCCCCCCCCCCCCCCCCCCTACCTTTCTTTCCTTGCTGCTGCTCTTGCAGTCTCTTTGTTGTCCCCCATTTCTCTTCCTTTTTCATTGTCTCTGGGTGGTGGGGGATGACGTAGAAATGCTATGACTGTCAAAATTATCTTTCCTCTAAAATAAAATTCATTTTCATCTCAGAAGTTCTTCTAATTTTTTGGAGTTATTACGTTTGGACCATTTCTGTCGATTTTTTTTTTTTTTTAAATAAAATCTACTCAATTCCGATTTCCATATTGTCAATTTCCTACTTCTCACCTATCTATCAAAAGATCCGCTGTTCTTCTTCAATCGGGATGAAAAATCTGGGAGTTTGGTGTTAATATTAGAAAATATCAGATGCGCGGAGGCTTGGAGGGACCGATTTGCTGTTGGATTGTTACATGGAATCCCCTTTGGTTACTTGGGTCGGTATCACTTTTGGCGTCTTGTTTTCTTTATTTGTTGTTGAATCCCAAAATGTAGATACTGTAGCACCACCTCCGTCTCCACCGCCTCCGCCATCTCCTCCACCTCCACCTCCACCTCCACCGCCTCTGCTATCTCCACCCCCTCCATCGGCCCCACCTCCACCTCCTCCCTTTCATCCACCTCCGTCACCTCATCCACACTCTCCTCCACCACCGCAAAAGGGCCTCCCTCCAGCTCCTCCAAAGAATAATAACTCAGATAGAAATCATACCAAACATGAGAAGCCCCATGCTAAACTAAACCCACCACCGCGGAAAGAGAAAAGACCGCCACCAGCACCACCACCACCACCAAAAGAGAAAAGGCTCAATTTTGGCAAGAAAATCGGACTATTTTTCATCGGTATTGCAACAATCTTGCAGGTGTGCGTGGTGACGTTCTTGGTATTCAAAAGAAAACAACTCTTAAGGGCAGAAAGCAGATTTTAAAAAAAGGGCCAAATTCATTTATCCTTTTTTCTCTCGTTTTCTCTTTCTCTTTGATCGAGCATGCATACAATACGGAAGTAGAGTCTTTGCTGGAGGATAGGCATTTTATTCATTCAGCGGACAGATGATGGATTCATATATGGATTCGGATTGAAGGATTTACTGAGCATCGGTCTCTGCATATCATTATTGCTCTTGTAAATTGGTAATTCTCGATTGGCGTTCTTTTTCCATTTCCGTTTTTTTTCTCTCTCCTTATTTCTTTACCAGGTAAATTAATTAAACTAGGTGGCAATTTTGTTTCTTTGTTATTTAATTTTTTAACCTGACCACGTATTGTGAATATCGACGAGACACTCGTCAGAACATTTTTTGCTTCTGCAAAATTTAAACTTCTCATGTCTAGCTTGTTTGAATTGGTTTGCTTGTTGAGGATGTGAAATGGAAGTTTCTTATGTTGGTTGCCTTAATTTTGGATGATGATTTTTGTGAATTTGACTAGAATGCTTGTGCTGCTGTCTGGTTGGAGAAGTAAAGAGAGGGAAGTGACTAACTCTTAGAACTTGTTGGTTGGAGAAGTATAACAACACGATCGCGATTTAAAAGAATGATATATTAAAGGCTTTTTTTTTTTTTTGAAGGATGATATATTAAAGGTTGAATGAGGAAATTGATGTTTAATGTATACAATGTGCATGGATCACGATTACAAAAAGATAGGAGTGCTCATAGTACACATCAAACCAGAGGATGCACAATTTTTCTCAGAGGCTAACCAAAGAACTAGGATTTAATAGGCAAAAGTAAATATGTTAAGTATTGAGCATCTAAACGAACTACTGTAAAACATGCTAAAGAATGATTATACTTTTCAACTTTTTGGTTGCTCGCCTTCCTGCCTCACCCCCCAGGCATGCAGCAAGAAACTAGGGACTATTATAACCTATTGCTTTGTTTCCTGATGGATGCATAAGAAACTGCATTGCCTGCGCAACTGGTGGTTTAGAAAGTGGTAGTAGGCACCTGAATCTCCAGTGCTTTATATATTGCTGAATGGACTAGCAATCATCCTAAGAAGCATCTTAAGGACCAAGCACCTCTGCCCATTTATTTCCCCTTGTATAGGAATTATGCTGTCAATTGTTGTTTCATGTAAATCATCTTTATAAATTTACTTTTAGCATGTCCTTTGCTGGTGAAATTGAAAAATGATATCAGCGAATAGTGGAGGGCAATATTATTATTATTATTTTTGTATCTTTTCATGAGTTACAGGAGAGAAAATGGACTTACAAAACGAAATCTTTTCTGTAGCTGTACATGTGGTACAAACCAAGAAATGCTGTTGAATTCTGGCAGATGTTTGCATGACTTTGTGATATGAACTCGACTTGGATTGATCTTTCTCTTCCACCTTGATAATCATTGTGACCGCACTGAACTTAATGTTGCTTTATACTTGTGATATTAGGTCAATTGTCATAGGCGTGCCAACTCATGTTCTTCATTTTTGTATTGTAGGTGATAGAAGAAACAAACGTTTCTAGATGATATCCTGCCTCTGGTTCTCAATTTGACATGACTTGTGTGGATGGAGATAAAAATTGCCTTAAGTTATAGTCTGGATGAAAACTCAATAGGAATATCAGCCTACTTATTTTCGAGGCGTGATTTGTGGTTGCTACTATTGTAACATGCGGTCCTATATATAACCTTTTCATTTTGTCTGTTCGTAAATAAATAAATATATAAAAAAAATAATGAAAGTATATGATATTTAATTCTGTCTTGTGCTATGACATTTGGATTGCAAATGCATGAGCACATATGCTGCAGGCTTGGTATTTGGATGGGGATATGTAAACAAAGATTGCGGGGCTTAGTTGGCAAAATGTATGAATGAAAAAGGCACTCGACTTTTCTGGAGTAATTGTTGTCGAGAAATCTTAGTCGCTTAATAGGTGTTAAGTTTTGTTTTGTTTTAGATTTTCAAAGATAGGATTTGTTGTTAAAATTTGACTAATGAAAAGCAGAGTAGAAAAGGCTCAAGATTTGTTGAGTGCTCTGAACGCTAAAATTTGCTGAGGCAGAAGTCGTCACTTTAGTGTCTACACTAACAAGAAGGAAAAAGGACTTGGACGAAACTAAGTTACTGTAGACTAAAAAAAAAAACTGGCTATCCATATGGAGCCTGAATATTTTGAGTGGTGGTTGACCATAGCAATACATATCTGTTCTCGTTTATGCATCCCCTGAATGCAATCATCTTGAGCAGTATGGTAAATTTTACAGCAGAGGAAATCTTGGTGGGATTTGCTGAAATTATGTCTTGAGACTTTGTCAGATGTATGTACAAGTACCAAATTCATGGGAAGGTATGATAGTGTCTGTGGGTCTCGGATAGCCTGATTTTAGTTCCTGTTAGAGGATCTTGGCTGTGGGAATTTTGCTAGCCCTTCCCAGATGAATAGGGATACTTCTTATTGGCAGCTGGTAAAAGGCCTTCCAAGGATTCTAGATCTCCCTCTGCTTGCATTTAGCTAGATTGTTCTAGTTGAGGAGTTTAGTCACTGATTTCTATGGATAGGTGTGTGCCATAAAATGCTTCCATGTGAATGCTGGAGAGGTTGCCTTATCATCTTCATATTCAGTCACCTATCAGTCAATTACTTCCAGCAGAAAGATCCGTCTGCTTCAAGTCACTTACAATCGATTCTTAAATGTTCAACGTAATTGCTTAAAGGCGGGCATTGGTAGGGCCTGTGATTCTAAATAGTATAATTTTCCCTTTTCAAGTGGTGCCAGAGTGCAGTAATGTTCAAGCGGCCTCAAGACTTTTCATTTATTTACCAGCTAATAGTCATCCATGCATAATTTTTAAACCACAGCTGCCTACCTCCATTGGTCGTTCTACTCTTTTTCCTTGTCTTAGCTTTTGAAGCATCTGTTCAAGATCAGAGCCCCAGAAGACACTGCAGGATGCTTGTGCAAGAATCCTGCAAGTGTCACATTGGACTGAGAATGGCCGACTTCTTCATAGCTAATCAACTCAGTCATATACCTTAACAAAAACCTCAGCCCAAAGTGAATATTGAAACCCACAAGTTCTTTTTCAGTGGTTGCAACGAGCTTAGATCGATCAACGGACGAAATTTGGTTGCCTTTCGGGAGACTTGAGAGGTGGCCTTCTTATCCTCGTATGCTACTGCCATGTGCCCTTGGGACCCCATTTACCAAGCTTAATATCACAAACTTAAATTTATGTTAATCGGAATTAGAAGGAAAATAGGCTTCTTCACTTCTTGTATGAGACAGGTCTTAACCATTGTCATATTATTGATGAAATTAGTGGGTGGGAACTTCTTAACATATATGCTAGTATAGTATAACAATTTGAAGAAGCATTATTATTGCTTAAAAAACATTCTGGAAATCATCAGACCATCGCAGTGATGAGCGATACTTATCGCCAGGCTGACGGGATATCAGCAGACCATCGGGATTTCTAGCCTACATCATCAACTCACCTATAATCAATTACTTCCAGCAAAACTTTGCTGTCTGTTCCTCCATCCGCACAAATAGAGAAGTGATCATCGATTCTTCAATACGGCAACATGCATGCATGGATGCTTCAAGGCACCAACGGTGTAGTGCTTGTGGCTCTCATTGCCCACGAGCTTCAAGCGGTGCCTTGCCACTCAATGGACAAGTGGTTCTCTTGCCTATATATATATATATATATATATATATATATATATATATATACATTCCTGATTCCCAGCCCTCCAGGCTCAATCGCTGCAAACAAATTGAAAGCAGAGAAAAGATGCTTCAATTATTCTTTCTATTCTTTTTCCTTGTCTTTACTTCTGAAGCATCGGTTCAAGACTTCTGTGTAGGAGACCTTAATGGCCCAGAAGGGCCTGCAGGTTACTCTTGCAAGAATCCTGCTAACGCCACAGTGGATGATTTTACGTTTACGGGCCTGGGAGCGGCCGGAAACACCTCAAACATCATCAAAGCTGCCGTAACTCCAGCATTTGCAGCTCAATTCCCGGGCGTAAATGGCCTAGGAGTATCCATGGCGCGATTGGATTTAGCGCCTGGTGGCTTGATACCAATGCACACCCACCCTGGGGCAACCGAGCTGCTGTTTGTTGCTCAGGGATCCATCCAAACTGCATTCCTCTCTTCAGCCAATAAGGTGTACTTGAAAACGCTGAAAAAAGGCGATATTATGGTATACCCGCAAGGCCTGCTGCATTATGCCTGCCATTGCTTATTTGAGTTTCAGTAGCCCCATGCCCGGCCTCCAAATTACAGACACGGCGTTCTTTGGAAACGACTTGCCTTCCGAACTGGTCACGAAGTCGACGTTCCTGGATGCTGCTCAAGTTAAGAAGCTTAAAGCTGTTCTTGGTGGTACCGGCTAATCCAAAAAAATTATGCCATTGCTTTCCCACATTCAGTTCTTCTCCTTTGTGCCCAGCAACGTGGTTATCATTCAGTCATTATTTTAGCCCATCTATATCATAATAATTTCCAGTAGTATTCTGAAATGACGAGTGCAAACATTTCCAAGTTGTAAGCTAAACAATATACGTAGTATTGATTGAAAATCGGTGGAACGAATGGCTGGAGACAGATTCATATTTCATTGCGCCTGGATCCGTACGTGACACAAACATCCCTGCTACCCTTTGTCTAATAATAATAACAACTATTAGAGATGTTTACGTGGTTGGTAGGCCTAAGGAAAGCACAATAGCTGACTGCGACGACGACAACCATATAACAATAATATTTTTTTTGTCTGACGTAGTGGGCATCCGGGATTCGACGGATTATATTTTCAGGTCCGACTATTCTCATTCCGCTTGTGCCCCCACCCCTCAGATGACACAAGACGATAACAGGGATTGAACCGCGATCACACGATGCCAAGACCTAAGGAGGCACCCCACCACCAGTCGAGCCAAACCCCGGGGGTATATAACAATAATAATTACTCATTGGTTTTCTGATGTTGGACGAGGGCTTCATAGTAGACTGGTAATTGACTGTAGTTATGTTTGATCAAAGTGGCATTTTCGTTTTGAAATTTCACCTACCAGCTCCTGCTTTTCTCAAGAGCAACTCCACTCTTCCTTCAATAATCAATAGTCAATAATAATATTAGTACATCACACACGCAAGCAAAAAGGAAAAACTTGCATTTCTAATACTTTTCTTCGTAGAAAGCTTCCAACCTCACTCTGGTACTAGTTTTACCGACCCACCTTCCTCTGCTTGGAGTTAATTACCAAGGACGGTCAGTTTTGTAGACAATCCATCATAATAACCTTCCAGCACGATGGATTGCGTTACCTATCAAAATTTCACACACACACACACACACACAAATATATATATATATATATTAGTATTCAAGAAAAGAAAAGAAAAACAATCAGCACGCCGTGGTGATGTGTGCATGCACATCAATTTGTATAAATTTGTCAATTTGGCGACGTTCAAATTTGACTGAATCAGCTTAGCCTTGATTACATACATCAACTGCGTGTCCAGAATTGACTGGGGAGGGAAGAGCACAGTTGGTATGCTTTACTTACTCATTACTGCAACTACCACTACTGGTCCAGTAGTTGTATGACGTTGACTACCTGACAGCTGAATTCGGTGGAGAAATGTATTCATTGCAATTGGCACGTCATTCGCAAATCAAGTTGTATTGACAAAAGAATCAGACCATCCATCCGAATCTGGTTCCATCTTTTACTCCTCTCGTACAATCATACACTGCTATGTACTGTATATATAGCACTACTACGCTTTTTTTTTTTTTTGGCAACGGAATAGAACACACACACAAACAATGATTTGACACGCAGCAGGCATCACCAAACCGGCCTGAAAGCAATTTAAGGGGGACTCATAAGAAACATTCATCCAGTCAATTGGTGACAGAAAGGTGCTTTTATGGACCTTAAATCTAGAGTAAATACCCCACGATCAATTGATGTGGGATGGTAACCCAACCCCCTCCTGCGCATGCAGCACCACTCGGTGAGTAGTATTTTTTTTCCGCAATGGAATAGAACACACACACACAAACAAAGAATTGACACGCAGCAGACATCAGCAAATCGGCTCGAAAATAATCTAAGGAGGACATACAAGAAACACCCATCCAACCAATTGGTGACAGAAAGGTGATCGTATGGACCTTAAACCCACCAGAAACTACGACGCATTAAAAAACAAAAAAGAAAAACTTTCTACCCAATAGCGTAGCAGTCTGGAAAGCTGACAAAACATTGTTAAAAGCTGCCGTGCCATTCAGCGAAAAGGGACAGAGGAGTTTGCCGTCGCAAGAAAATTCAAAACTCCAATCGCATTGCCGTCTCCAATGCTTTAAGATGGTACTAGTATACCATAGCCGGTGCTAGTATTATCCTGTTCCAAAGGGGCCAAAGTCAGCCGTTTGTGGGGTCTAAAGGCGGGCTGCAATTAAACAAAAGCAGCATCATCATCATCGCATGCCTACGTACGTGACACAAGAAGAAGAGAATAAGTCAGTAATCAAACGAATCACAGGCATATCATCATCATATGGCTATTCTTCTTCTTCTTCTTCTTCTTACAGAATACCCAGACTCCTCCGTCTTTAGAAAACCTCAAATAAAAACGTCATAACTTCCAAAACACCAGCACGCCAAGAGTATTATCAAATATGCGCTTCTGTGTCTTTTCCAAAGCCAACAACGCCACTGTCCCATTTCATTATTTTAACTCTTGAATACTAGTAGCACTATTAACTTTCATAAACTCCACTCCACATTAATCAACCTCTCTTAAAAACAAAAAAAAAGTCTTCCTATTTTGCATGCTCCTCCTCCTCTAGATCAAATGACCAAGTACCATCATCAACAATTACTCTCCCACCCTTCCTCCTCTCTCTCCCAGCCCATCCTCGATTCCTCCAAGATGATAAACGAAGAACCAGACCCCAACCCCATGTCCGATCACAACATTTTGGAGTGGATAGAGGGCTCCTTGCCTTTCCTCCCTCCAATCTTCGATGATCCTTATGATTCCTGGTGGCCGCTTCCTGCTCCAGCTCCGGACCAGGAACAGATTAACCGCTGCTCGACTTCTTTCAACAGCAACGTCTCTACTGTTACCGCCGCGACGAGCGCTACCCTCCCTGAACCTCCTGCCATTCCCTCCGACCATCCACGGCCGTCGGATTCTTCCAAGAAACGGAAAGCGTCCGACGATCATGCTCCCAAGACATCCCAAATCTCCCGAAAGAGTCAGAATCGTCGGAACAACAACGAGGGTGATGAGGGGGAAACGATTGTGGAACAAGGCCTCGTTCCAGCCAGGAAGTCTTCTGGGAGTAAAAAGGCCGCAGCCAAGTCCGGAGGCAATACCTGTAACAACAAAGACGGTAGGTGGGCAGAGCAGCTGCTCAACCCTTGTGCGGCTGCCATTACAGCCTCAAATCCAAGCCGGGTTCAACACCTCTTGTACGTCATCAACGAGCTCGCCTCCTTAACCGGTGATGCCAACCACCGGTTAGCTGCTCATGGGCTCCGGGCGCTGAAGCATCACCTGGCTTCCCCTGGCTCATCGGTCACTTCAGCCGGAAGTACTACTTTCGCTTCTACCAACCCAAAGTTCTTTACTGAGTCTCTTATCAATTTTAGCGACATCAATCCCTGGTTCCGCATCCCCAACAGCATAGCCAACTCCTCCATCCTGCAAATTCTCCAGGAACAGAATCAACCTCGAAATCTTCACATTGTCGACGTTGGAGTCTCTCATGGCATTCAGTGGCCAACTCTCCTCGAAGAATTGACGCGTCGATCAGGTGGACCGCCTCCTTTGGTTCGTATTACGTTAATCACTCGAACCAATCACGAAGAACAATCACGGAACACACCATTCGCCGCAAGCCCTTCGGGATACAATTGCTCCTCACAACTCCTGGGTTTTGCTAAAAAAATAAACGTCAATCTTCAGATCAACAGACTCGACAACTTCCCGTTGCAGAATCTCAATTCTCAGGTCATAAAGTCGTCCCCAGATGAGACCTTGATCATTTGCACCCAGTTTAGGCTCCATAATCTCAACCACAACAACCCAGATGACAGAACGTACTTCTTGAAAGTATTGAGGAGTATGGAACCTAAAGGAGTAGTTCTTACTGAGAATAACGCGGACTGCAGCTGTCACAACTGCGTAGACTTTGCAACAGGGTTCTCTAGAAGAGTGGAGTACTTGTGGAGATTCCTGGACTCGGCAAGCGTTGCATATAAAGGACGCGAGAGCGACGAAAGAAGGATGATGGAAGGAGAGGCTGCGAAGGCTTTGACGAATGCAGGAGAGATGAACGAGAGGAAGGAGAAATGGTGTGAGAGAATGGCCAGTGTTGGTTTCAGCAGGCAGGTGTTTGGAGAGGACGCAGTTGACGGCGCTCGGGCATTATTGAGGAAATACGACAGTAATTGGGAGATCAGAGTAGAAGACAGAGATGGCTGCGTGGGTTTGTGGTGGAAAGGGCAGCCTGTATCTTTTTGCTCATTGTGGAAAATAGCTCCAGATACCAAATAGAGACGAGACTGATCCAGTGGGTTTCTCATTGTTGTTCATTCTCATCTGTGAAGGAATAGTACTAAGTGAAATCTTTCAGCTTCTTATCTTGTCGCCAGCTTCAGTGCCATCCTTCTATCTTTAACCAGCTACCCAACACTACCATGATCGAATGTGAAGCTCTCTCTCTAGTTAAAGAATAGGAAGGAGCGAAACAAACGCAGGCATTTCGTAGATCAAGTGCTTAGTAGTAGATTCCGGGGTCCTCTGTAATATAATTTTGTCAAAGTTAACAAGCATATGAGCAAACTCATCAATCTTATACGTTCCCATTTTATTCATCTTTCATCAACTAAATTCAAAAGAGAAATTACGCAAATACGCGTTACATCTTCAGCATTTGCCATTAACCAAGCCAATAGTTTAGCTAACGAGCACCGCAACAGATTTCTGCATTTCTTCTTTTATCATTTTTCTATCGGGAGTAGCGAGTTCCCTTTGGAACAAAAAGCCACCGGGAGACGATGATATTAGTTTGCAAAAATCCCACCTAACACCTCTTGCTTCTGGTCGCAAGGCAAACACAGAAAAAGAAAATCTCGTAGCATCAATTTGAACCATAATCAAGGGGCCGAAAATGTTTGAACATTCGACACCGATCATGTACTACATAGCCACGATGGTTTAGCATTAACTGAATCACTGTATTTTTATTTTTAATTGCCACTCATGTTTCGGACTTCAAACCAGCTAGACAAAAATAAATCATATTTACAGTAGAACGGGTCCTGTCCCCAGGGACAAAATGTTTCCTATTACATCAGTAAAGGCAGACCATTCACCCTACAAATCGGTTCAGTTTAGTCACTTCATTGCTATTTGAGAAAAGGTGATTCGGTCATCCAGTACTACCATCACACAAATGAAGTTTCTAAAAATAAGAAAGCCAGATCGCTTTGTGCGGTTCCGGAAATAAAATTATCAGTTGATCATGAGTCGTAAATCCTCACTGAAT